TTTTAAAAAAACCCGGCTACGTGTGGACTAGGCTTCAAACAGCCAGGGATAAACAGAACTGAAAGTGGAGCAGAAGTGGGACCGGGTTGAAACCCCCATCCCCTCTGAATTGTTAAAGGTTACAGGGCAGCAGAGGATGAAAGTGCAAGTAAACCATGAACATGAGTGTCCCCTCATCCTGCTCAAGTGACTCAAGACAGATTTGTAAACTCCAGCCTATATTGACAACATCTGAGTTTGCACTGAAACAGAAGGAATATAATATTTTAGAGAATGTAAAATATGGAGGGCGGAGAGTCTGAAAGCAGAGAAACTAGGGCACAAGCAGGAGGAAACAGAATGCTGATGCTCTCTAAAGTTGAGCCATAGCTTCACTAAATCCCCAGCGCTTCATGCCAGGACCCGACCTTCTCAGGTGGAATGGTTCTTCTCAAAAGCTTTAGTCCTTTGAGTCCATCTGTCTCACCTTGGTTCCTGTTTCACTTCATTTTTTTAAAGCGAGTAACATTCCTCAACACCACGCTGTGTGGCAACAGAACAAGGAAGTGTTGCATTAATATTTTAATGTCCTTTGTCGCTGCCTTTACTCATCCTTTCAAGGATGCAGTTGTGACTACATGAGTAAAGTCAGATGTTATTTTAGGACGTTGTGCGTTTACACAATGTTATAGATGGTTTTGTTTCTAAACTGATTATTTATGAAGAGTTCACCTTCAAAAACAAATAACTGTTTTTATAAATGATCTTTCAGTGATATCAGTCAAATAAAGTTTGGTGATTTTGATTTTTAAAAATTACATTTATCTGGCTTTTGCAAATGAACTGCTGCAATAAAGACATTTTTTAATCAGAAACGTAAAAAAAACATAAAAAAACTAATTTTAATGGTGTGGGAGACTGAAAAAATATTTTTTATGAATATTTGTGATTATAATCAAGCTGAGTTTTCCATGCAGGCTGAACATGAAAATAGTCTCCTACACCTATCTCCTGCGTTAGCTTCTGATAGAAAAAAGATGGTGAAACTCTATGATTAGAAAAGCCTGACAGATCTAAGTCACACTGTCACTTAAGAGTCATAGACTCACCCATCTTGACTCACAAAAGGGGAAGGCTGTTGTTGGTTTAGCATCCAGGTAACAGCAGAGAATGTCTCAACTAATAGAAGCTAACCATTAGCATTAGCAACTAGCAACTCCACCACACGGTAGAACTCCTTCAGGCTTGTGTTATTTGTGGAGATAAAACATTAATGCTACAGAGCAAAAAGAGTCAGTTGTAGAGTTGCTTTGCTGTTAGCCAATGAGAGGTGAGATGTCCAAATATCAGGAAACAAGTCTCCAAAACCTGTTGTTTGAGGCTGTCATCTGTTGTAGCTCAGTTCTAGTTCCTGAAACAGAATTATAAAATAAATATTCTTAAACAACCCACCTCTCTCTCTCTTCTTATCTCTAACTCAATACAAGGTGTTTGAATAAAATTCCCTGTGGTAAAAACAACCTCTTCTGATTCTAAGGGCCCGGTCCAAAGATTAATGATCCAGCCAGGTTTGGATCAGTGATATCTCTGAACCTTAATAAAAGTGTTGTTTCTGATTCCTCCACCTCACCCAGCATGGCTCTATTAAATACCCACTCTGTTAACAATAAGTCTTTCCTGCTCAATGATCTAATTATCTCTAAAAACCTGGATTTTCTGTTTCTGACTGAAGTTTGGGAGCAAACATCTGATTAATCAATCAATCAAAGCTTTATTTATAAAGCGCCTTCCGCAACCCTGTCAGGAAGCCCAAGGCGATTATTCTGGTCTGGTTGAACTCTGCCCGAGTGGTTATTCTTTTCTTAGCCAGCCCCGGGGTTCTGGTCGTGGTGGAGGCCTAGCTGTTGTTTTCAGATACCATCTTCCATGTAGCTCTACAACCTCTGGTCACTTTGCTTCCTTTGAACTGTAGCTGATTAAAGTCGGGCGTAAGGACCCGTTCTACTGGGCTGTGGTCTATCGTCCACCTGGTCCAAACGGTTCTTTCCTTCAGGAGTTTAGTGGCTTTCTATCCTCCACTGTGAAACTGTCCAGACTGGTGATTGTTGGTGACTTTAAAATCCGCATTGATGATCCCTCTGATCACTTTGCCATGACTTTATCCAGCCTTATGGACTCCTTCAGCTTTACCCAGCATGTTTCTGGCCTCACACACACCAGGGGGCACACTCTAGATCTTGTTTTTACCCTGAGTTTAAATGCTGACAGTGTTTGTCCTGAGGACGATTATATTTCAGATCACCATTGCATTTTCTTTAACTCGTCAGTTTCTGCATCCCCTCCTCGCCATATGGTTAGTTCTCGTTTTCTTAATGAGAGCACAGCTAGCAATGTTTCCACCGCTTTTGATACACCCTGTTCTTCTGATAATGACCCAGATTCCTTAACTTCTCAGTTCAACGAGCACTGCCTCTCCATTCTGGACAACATCTGTCCTGTCAGAACCACATCAGTTCCTGCAGTGAACCCTACTCCCTGGTTTAATGACAGCCTTCACAGCCTGAAGCACCAATGCAGAAAAATTGAGCGCTTGTGGAAGAAAACTAATTTTCCACGTCCATCTGCTGCATCTGAAAGATCTTCTGACATCCTTTAACTCTGCAGTCAGAGATGTGAGGGTTTCCTATTTCTCCAACCTGGTGTCCCAGAGCAAAGGGAACCCCAAGGTGCTGTTTAACACCATCAGCAGCATCGTCTCTCCTGCCTCTCCTACAGCCTCCATCCACTCTGTTGCAGACTGTGAGAACTTTCTGTCTTTCTTTGTGGACAAAGTCAATAAGGTTAGATCTAGCATCTCTCCTTCAGCCTTATCGCTGCCTCTCCCGACTCCAACCAGGCCCATCATCCTAGATAGCTTTGCTCCTGTTTCTTTGCCTGAGTTAACCAAACTAGTTAACTCTATGAAGACCTCTGCATGCCCCCTCGACATCTTACCCTCATCTTTGTTTAAAAGTGCTTTTCAGTCCATTGGTCCCAGCGTGCTCTCCATAATTAATGCTTCTCTGGTTTCTGGTCAGGTCCCTGCTTACTTTAAGAATGCTGTAATCCACCCGCTTCTTAGAAAACCGATTCTGGACCCCTCTCTCCATAACAGCTTCAGACCCATCTCTAAACTTCCGTTCATCTCCAAGATCTTGGAAAAGGTTGTGGCTAAACCACTCCCAGCTGCTCTTGATGAACATAACATCTATGATTGCTGACAGTCAGGTTTTCGTAGAGCTCATTCTACTGAAACAGCTCTTCTTAGGGTCTCTAATGACCTTCTGACTCACAGTGATGCAGGGGACTGTTCTGTTCTGGTCCTGCTGGACCTGACTGCAGCCTTTGACACTGTTGACCATCACCTGCTACTGGAGAGGCTGAGAGACTGGGTAGGCCTATCAGGATCTGCTCTGGAGTGGTTCTCCTCTTATCTTTCTGAGCGCTCCTTTTCTGTGGCTGTCTCCAAGTTTAGGTCCTCCACCACCTCTCTTACCCATGGTGTCCCACAAGGTTCTGTGCTGGGGCCTCTGCTCTTCCTCCTCTATCTACTCCCTCTTCAGCACATCCTGAGCTCCTTCAAAGGAATCTACCATCTTTATGCAGATGACATCCAACTGTACATCTCCTTTAAGCCCCATGAGATGTCTAAGCTGCAGCTGTTACACACCTGCTTAGATTCTATCAAAACCTGGATGGCTGGGAGCTTTCTACAGCTGAATGAAGATAAGACTGAGATCCTCATCTGTACCCCAGAGAAGCTGGTTCCCAAAGTCAGAGACTCTCTTGGCCAGCTTGCTTCTCACACCAAACCTTCTGTCAGGAATCTTGGCGTGACCTTTGACCCAGCTCTCACCCTGGATTCTCATGTCAGTTCTCTTGTTCGCTCTTCCTTCTTCCATCTCAGGAACATTGCAAAGCTGAGTCCCATTCTGTCCCGCTCTGAACTTGAGACAGTTCTCCACACCTTCATCTCCTCACGCTCAGACTACTGTAACTCTCTTTTCACGTGTCTGAGCAGAACCTCCCTGAACCGTCTACAGGTGGTTCAGAATGTCTGTGCTCGGCTTCTGACCAAGTCCTCCAAACACACCCACATCACCCCGCTTCTCCTCCAGCTTCACTGGCTGCCAGTCAACTTCAGGGTTCATTTCAAGATCCTGGTTCTGGTCTATAGGGCCTTACATGGACAAGCACCATCTTACATTGGTGATCTTCTTAGTCCCTACACCCCCAGCAGGTCCCTGAGGTCCAGTGACCAAAGCCTACTGGTTGTGCAGCACCAGGCTAAAGACCAAAGGTGACAGATCATTTGCTGCTGTGGCCCCCAGACTCTGGACCTCTCTCCCCCTGAGCCTGAGATCAGTGGACTCAGTGGTCTTCTTCAAAAAGCAGCTGAAGACTCACTTGTTTGAGCTGACTTTTGTATGACCTTCTTCACCACTCTCTCTTTATTCTGCTCTCCCCACCTATTCCACCTTCCCCAGGATCCACTGATTTCCCTCTTTCCTATTCACTCTCTCTCTCTTTCTTAACATTTTGTTTTTTAATCACAATTGTCTATTTTTTGCTCATATTAAATATATGTGTAACCATTTTCTAAATTCTTTTTTATATTTTTACATTTTTTGTTTTTGTGAAGCGCCTCGTGATTTTTATCTTGAGAGACCCTATAGAAATGATATTTTCTTCTTCTTCTTCTTCTTTATCCCTTGAGGTCCACGTGGCAGGGGGAAGGAGGAGCTGGTGCTCACTCCTTCCCCCTGCCACGTGGACCTCAAGAGATAAACCATCAATCCTGCTCGATGGTCAACTTTTTTGCGAGGTCACCCATGAAGACAGTGGGAGGGTTAAAGTGTGTGTGTGTGTGTGTGTGTGTGTGTGTGTGTGTGTGTGTGTGTGTGTGTGTGTGTGTGTGTGTGTGTGTGTGTGTGTGTGTGTGTGTGTGTGTGTGTGTGTGTGTGTGTGTGTCTAAAGCTTACTGAAAGCTGCCACAGCCAGTATGAGAGTGACCACGATGGAGATCCAAGAGACCCAGAGAGCCTTCTTCCTGTAGTTCTGTGCTTCGTGGGGCTTCAGGCGCATGCTGCTCTCCAGAAGACCTGCAGCCAGAAACATCCTCACACTCAGTCACAAGAACATGTCCGTCTTTGTTTTACTTTCCTGTGCATTAATTCAGTGTCTCCTGGTTTTCTGTGTGATCGTATCAGGAAGCCTGAGGTAAAGTCAGAGGTTATCCAAGCTGTTAAAGGAATCTTCGCTTAAATGTGGATGCTTATCCATCATGTCATTTTTGTTTTACTGACTTACAACTGGTGAGGTGTTGACTTTGAGATGGTTAGGACATTAATTTACACCTTTTGTCTCTTTTAATCACCTTCAAAGACAAGGCTGATTGCATAATTTAATTAGTGGTAGGAGGAGCAATGTGGTTTTTGTCCTGGCCATGGAACTGTGGATCAACTCTTTACACTTGGTAGGGGGGTGAAGGGATCATGGGAGTTTGCCCAACCAATCCACATGTGTTTTGTGGATTTGGAGAAGGTTTATGACTGTGTCCCCAGAGGCACCCTGTGGGGGGCACTCCAGGGGTATGAGGTGGATGGTCTTTTGCTAAGGGCCATTCAGTCCCTGTACCAGAGGAGTGTGAGTTTGGTCCGCGTAGCCGGCAGTAAGTCGGACCTGTTCCCAGTGAGGGTTGGACTCTGTCAGCGCTGCCCTTTGTCACCGGTCCTGTTCATAACCTTTATGGACAGGATTTCTGTGGTGTTGAGGGTGTGGAGTTTGGTGGCAAGAGAATCTCATCTTTGCTTTCTGCGGATGATGTTGTCCTCCTAGCTTCATCAGGCTCTGACCTACATCTCTTGCAGGAGGCCCCCTGGTCAACCCAGGACACATTGGAGAAAGTACATCTCCAATCTGGCCCAGGAACACCTTGAGGTCCTACTGGAAGAGCTGGTGGAGGTGGCCAGTGAGAGGACGGTCTGGAACTCCCTAGTTGGGATGCTGCCCCCACGACCCGGACCCGGATAGGTGGAAGAAAATTAGACGAGAAGAGGATTCTCATTTATTTTGTCAACATTATTAAGTTTCTCTTCATTTTAACATCAAACTAACATATCGTGCCATAACAAGATTTGTGGTTGAATTTGAGAAGTAAAAGTGACCTAACAGACTTTGGAGAGACGGTAGTAAAAAAAAAATAATTTCCAGAAACAATTTGGATTCATGTGCCAATACTTCTTTTCTTTACTTGTGTGTGTGTGTGTGTGTGTGTGTGTGTGTGTGTGTGTGTGTGTGTGTGTGTGTGTGTGTGTGTGTGTGTGTGTGTGTGTGTGTGTGTGTGTGTGAGAGAGAGAGAGAGAGAGAGAGAGAGAGAGAGAGAGAGAGAGAGAGAGAGAGAAGGCATAGACCAAACAGCCCAGATTTCTAACTGCCAGCAGCTCGTGAAATGTGAGAATGGCTCTGCAGTCTGCAGACTCATGCATTATTCATGAGGTGGAACCTTGACATCCAAAAGAGATTTTTAATGCTTTTGGCTGCCGTTGTATCCAGCAATCTGTCCAGGGATTGTTGTCGGCACTACAAAACCAAGGAGATGGTTAGGACTATCATTTTCAGGACAAATGCCTGAATCTGTGTATTTGGAAAAGCCACCCCCCCCCCCCCCCCAACCCTAACCCTGATAAACAACAGAGATGATGTTTGAACTATCAGTGAGTTTGTCATGTCTTTACTCCAGCCTTACATTTAAGTTAGAGCTTTATTAATCTCAGTGATTGTTGAGTTAGAATCTTGGTTTCACATTTGCCACCAATCTGCAGCCCTCTGTTGACCAAAATCCACACTTGATAGTTTTTGTAGGTGTCCTGGGAGGTGCTTTTTACCTGCTTAAAAGCTGTTAGCTGTAATGCTAACAGTTAGCATTTTCAGTTTGCTGATTATCAATAAAAAGATATGAGAATATGAGAAGAAAAAGTTGAAGTTTGCACTGGTGCGGCCTATACTACCGTAGTTTCCGGAGTATAAGTCGCACCAGCCATAAAATGTATAATGAAGAAGAAAAAAACATATATAAGTCGCACTGGACTATACGTCGCATTTTGGGGGGACATTTTATTATTTTTCTTACAAAATCTGAGACCAAGCATTTCACATTGCAAGACAAGTACCGGTAACAATAACAGAATAAACAACCAGGGCGCAGCAGCGCACCACGGTCTCCAGCAGAGGATGGCGGTGTTTCAAACCCTCCCAGCGGGCGGGGAGAGCTCATTCCTGGGTCGGAGCTGGCCCGCAGCACCCCGCCACAGGCTGCAGCAGGTGATGGTGGTGTTTGAAACCCTCCCAGCGGGACAGGGGAGCTCATTCCTGGGTCGGAGCCGCCCGGCCCGCAGCAGCTCGCCACGGGCTCCAGCAGGTGATGGCGGGGCAGAGGAGCTTATTCCTGGTCCGGAGCCGGTCCACAGCAGCGCGGTATATATAATTTGGTATATAAGTCGTTCCAGAGTATAAGTCAGAGGACCAGCCAGACTATGAAAAAAAGTACGACTTATAGTCCGGAAAAGACGGTAGTTTGAGGGAGCTACTGGACTTGTAAGTAATATTATTTCTTGTCCAACAGTGTAGATCTTTTTACTTTGTGGTTTAATTTGGTATTTGTTGGCTCGTGTTAGAGTTAGCTCGTTGTTAGCGCTAGCTACAACAGGCTGCTGCAGGGTTGTTTATGGTAGTTGTAATTCCACTTCCAACCAGTACGGCGAAGAAGGATTGGGTCTAGTGTTACTTTAAAGTACGTCACTTTTTGGGGCAAAATTCCCATATCCTGGAACACCTTTCCCTGCATGTCTTCATTCAATTTTCTCTGTCCATCATAGCAGATAATAGACAACCTTCTTGAACTCAAACTACAAAAAACTTCCATACACAGAACTAGCACTGGCATCTAAACATCACAGGGTGAAAAATCCACATGGGATTGATTACCACCTGTCCCTAGTGGGGGATAGTAAGTGGAGACGGGTGTGCTGAAGACAATAAGAGTCATATAGATGCTGTTTTGGCCAAGCAGGTGATGCAAAGCCAATAGGGTACCACCAGTGGCAGGCGGTGCGTTCCACCCCTGGGCCTTCAGTGATTTCCTATTCAGTCCAATCTAATTTAATACACCTTAAAATACCATCAATAGGACATCACAGCTGGAGAAACCTCACACACACACACACACACACACACACACACACACACACACACACACAAACACACACACACACCAGTGGCTGGTCAAGACACATAATTTCCAGAGTCTTTAAAATCAAACTCGCATTCCCAGTTGAGAGTAGGAAGCTGACCACGGATACCGTCAAATCTCAGAAATGAAAGACGGGTTTAAGAGATGAGACAATAAAATAAATAAGTAAAGCAAACACATTATTTGCATTTGTTTTGGAGAAAATTGTACCGCGAAACAATTGAACATGTTGGCGCAGCTGCACACACCACGTTATACACAATATAAATTGCATAGAAACAGAACACAGAATAATTTCATTTTGCCATTTTATTTCGTTACCATTTATTATTAACAAAATAAAATGACAAAACATTAAAAAAAATACTAATAAAATGTTTCTACTCACCAACATAAATGTCCAGCATGGATCTCCTCCTCTCCTGCTCATTAGAAAATAAAATTCATCCTTCTTTCTTTCCTCAGGAAAACCTCAGTGGCTCTGTACAGTTCATCTGTGTGCTTCAGGTCCATGAGTAGATCCTTTTCTATGGACATGGAGGCTAATGCTGAAAGACATGTCTGCCCGGTCGTGTTTCTGGCGTACGTTTTAACGCGCTTTAATGCTACCAAATCCACCTGATGCGAGCAACAGGCATTCCCAGCAGAATAACCTGCAGCGGTTCTCTGAAGCTGTTAGCCATGGGTACCGTTCATAGTTCCTTGCCTGAAAATGACGAACAAATCCTTTCCCCTGCTGGGACAAGCCAGCTAGCATTGGAGTCGGACGACCTGTTCTCACAAGATCCATTTTTTCTTGAAAGGTCCGTCTGGAAAATGGTGTGGCAAGTAAATCTGCAACCAAGTCCGTCCCTTCTCCTCTTTCAGCCATCATGTGTTCAAAAATACACCGATAGCTGCCTATAGATACAAATCTCCGTGTTTAGTTTTGATATTTTGCTTCATGCTGCTAGAAAAGTTCTAACTACTGCTCATCCAATCACAGGATGCGTTCATGTCAACTTTTGCGTGAGGCCAGCTAGCTGGCCCGGGCCAAGCTGACTCGTGAGCTGATTGGCTGTCGCAACTGGATCGTCTCCGTTCACTTACAGCAGACAACGGGCTTCTCGATTGATTCTGAAGGCCTAGAGCAGACTTAATCTGCCTGAAAACACAAGCTAGCTTAAATCTGATTGGATAACACCCAGCCTTGGTATTTTAACACTGGAAGCAGCACAGCCAAGTGGGTATAATAGGATATAAAGAAAATAGACCAGTAAGCATTTTTTTTAATTTAAAAATAATTACCAAAGGAAAAAAAATACATTTACGCTTTTGAGTACGTTTAGGCCAGCAGAGAAGGCTTTGCTGGCCCTGACTGCCCACCACTGGGTACCACAGTATTGCCCCCTGAGGAAACACCACGCTGAGCAGGTCCCTGAAAATGTGGTATTTGAGTACAAGAACACCATAACTTGGGGGCTCTCTTGCGTTTCTCAGATGATATGAATTGTGAAACAGACTCCATGCTGCAGGAGGACTTTGGACAACAGAGTTTAGCCACCCCACTGGGTTTAGTAGCGGGTCTTCTGGATTTTTATTCTATTTTGTTATTGTTTAGGGCTTTTATTACTTTGTTTCATCCTTTCACCGGTTTGCCCTCTAATGTGCTGATTGGGTCATCAAAACAAGAGCTTCATCCATTACACATCAACATCAAGAGTGTCCATTTAATTCCATGATTTTTGACTAAAACGCAGCTTTTTTACTGAAGTGGACTTCTGCGAAAATTAAGAAAAATACATCTAAGAGTCAATCAATCAAGTCAAAAATCAATTCCAGCTCTTCCTGGCTGAAAATCAGCAATTACAGCGTAAACCTCTTTTCAAGCAGTCAAATTATGTGCATCATCCTTTATGTTGGGGGGGGGGGGGGCTTCAGTATGTAAAGCTGGTCAAAGTTAATGTGTCCCAGGATGGTTCATCTACATGCATTCATCCTGATTTTGTTTTTGTTTATTTGTCTGTGATGACAAAAAAATAAAAGTTTGTTTTATATTAATTTATAAAAAAACATTCCATAAAATAATCAACTTGAATTACGTTCACTGCACTGAAGGATGATTATTTCACAATAAAGGTGTTGAGTTGTGTTTTTTCTTACAGTTTTCACAAACAAAATAGATAAATTGAAACTCTTGAACGTTTAGACACTGTCTGCATCCTTCACTACAGTAACGTGTTTAACAGTTTCAGTAAAATATTGAATAACTCGAAAATATTGTGCCCTGGATCTCTTGAAAAACAAAACTTATTGTGGATATTTGAGAAAATATAAATAAACTAATTTTGTGGTGTACCACAGAATTATATAAACTACTACTGAGAGGAAATAAACTTTGTAAGAAGCTAAACTAGCATGTTTGTGTGTGTGTGTGTGTGTGTGTGTGCGTGCGTGCGTGCGTGTGTGTGTGTGTGTGTGTGTGTGTGTGTGTGTGTGTGTGTGTGTGTGTGTGTGTGTGTGTGTGTGTGTGTGCGCGTGTGTGTGTGTGTGTGTGTGTGTGTGTGCGCGTGTGTAAGCCAGAGAGGAAGTGAGACAATGTGGTAAATCATATGATTCCTGGCTGAGAAAGGAGACAGAAGGCATGTGTTCAACATCTCCTCTCAGCCTCCGTCGCTATGACTCAAGCAGGTCTCTGTGTGTGTGTGTGTGTGTGTGTGTGTGTGTGTGTGTGTGTGTGTGTGTGTGTGTGTGTGTGTGTGTGTGTGTGTGTGTGTCCTGACATTTGTCTTCATCACACCTTTCTTTTCCAGAAACAAATTCAAGCTTCAGCTCTTCTTTTTTTACTGAATCCCCAAAAACACAGCAGTTAAGTTTTTTTTGTCTGAAATCCTAATCAAAATGTTTCTGAATTATTAAAATATTCTTATAATAATTAAAAGTTATCCTGAAACAGAATTGAGCATGTGAAACATATAGATGTATGGATATTCAAATGAATGATGAATGTTTGTGTTTGGTTGCTTTTGTCGTATTTTGAGGCACGCCTTCCCCTCTGTCACTAGTGATGGTGCGTAGAGCCACTGCTCCTCTGAGGTTGTGCATGCAGACAGAACAGAGGCGACTTAGTGCCACATCAGTGTGTGCTTACAAATGGCGTCGCAGAATCAGCTGAGTGACAACTTTGTGCTTTGTGTAAATCATGCACTACAGGGTGCACAACAGATTACTCAATTCTTCTTATATTTCTAATTTTATTGTTCATTTTATGATGTTGGTTTTTAGATTGTTTGACATTATGGACATACAAAACTGTTTCACTGAATTAGATGTGTTTCATACTGAGCTTTAAAATGAAATCCAGACAGTCTTACGTCTGAACCCTCATTGACTCATTTGCAGAAAACCATCTAAAGCAGTGGTTCCCAATTTATTCAGCTTCAAATCCTAAAATTAGCATTTGTCAAGACATGCAACTCCAAATATCTATTCTAAAAGATTTCAGTGCATATAGAGAAATGATCATTTAGTTGAGTTTCTGTCACAATTATGTTAATAGATATAGCTTCAGCAATTGTTTTAAAAATGTATTTCAAAGTCTGGCAATCATCTCAAGACCCCCTTTGTAGATCTTAGTGACCCACAGTGGAGTCCCAACCCCAACGTTGGGAACCACTGGAAACGATGCAAGAGTTTTAGTCCAAAACAAATATTTATTTCCACAATTCAAGTCTAGATTTTTACCCTTTTGTTTCCTGAATGTCCTCCAACCTGAACTCAACTACCTCTGCTGAACAGTCTTTTTGTTTTACATCAGGCAGACCACATTTCACACATTCAAATCCTGCAGGACAATCAAATAAAGCATATGCACTCAGACCTGAGGAAACCCCTGCATATAGAATATTTATATTTTAAATTAGTGGTTTTTTTCTTTTCTGAAAGGCTGCAAATAAAGATTTTCAATGAGCTTTTGGGTATGTGGTCTTCTGCTGGTTCCCATTTTCTTTTCTTTGAGGACTCTCTTGCTCGTGACAAGCCAGGACCTCCAACTCCTACACACATTAAATGTGATTATTTACTAACTTTATACAGGCATACAATGCCATAGCTTTTATGGAGTATAATTAGACTGTACGCTGTGTTATTGGGATTTTATATATGTAATTTGTACAAATAAAATCCTCTGCAAAGACACAATTGTGTGGACCAGCTGCTATTTTATGGCTATGGCCTTAAATCCATTAAAATGGCTTGTTTATTGGACTTTATGTATTGGATGATGACTAGATAAAAAGTTCATGCATAAAAGTGGTAAAAGAAATCCACATTTAAGGGTTTGTTATGCAGGGGACTGGTGCCAGAACCCAGCCTTGGTGCAGACCTTGTGTCTGGTGCATGATTTAAGGTCAAGAATATGATCTTCCAGGGTGAATGCATGAATGAATGCATGAATGAATGAATGAATGAATGAATGTATTTTAAGGCAACTAAAACTTTGAAATTACACCATGAATCTATGCTGATGCATGACTATCATACATAATTCAAAGAGCAGACCGAAAATATCCGGCGTGGATAAAAATAACCATCCTGTCTCCGTCATACCTGACACGCGCGCGCGCACGCACGGACATCCTGCCCCAAAGCGCCCATGACCCATCCAGAACTTTTTAAACAGCTTAAATCCAAACACGATTATAAAGTTACCTTCTCCGTCCACATTGTCAGTGATCTTCATCTCCTGGTTGCCTGTGAACGGGTCGGGCTCAGTGGGGGTCTTGGCTGGCTGCTGCTGCTGCTGGTGGTTGGTGAAGCCATCCACGGCGCACTGGCCGTTCCGCACTGTGGCCGGGCAGGGATCCACCATCGTCGGTTCTGGGACAGGGCAGAAGTCCTGGGTCACGTGGTCAGCCATTGTTGACGCTACTGTTTTGTGTTCGGTCTCAGAAGGCAGAGGATGAGGTGAACAGGGGTTTGGTTTTAATAAGACAAGAGAAATGCTCCCACCGGTCCGTTAAGCGCAGCAGCCATCCAGCGCGTCCAGTCGGCCACCGGCGTTGGCTCAGATGCGCAGAGGAGGGGAGGAAGGGGGGGCGCAGAGATGAGATGGCGATAAGAGGAGATGCGAGATGAAAGATTGTTATCAACGAAGCATCTGTGGACATGCAACTTCCTCCAGCAGCAAGATTCCCAACAATATTCCAGTCCTTCCCCAAGCAGAGCAGTAATTTAGGGTTTGATGTGAGGATGCGATAAATCTCAGATCTGCTGTGAATCTGGCGGGCGGTGCCAGCAAGTTATTCTCCCTCCTCCCCTTTACTCCTTCTCTCCTCCTCTCATAACTCTACACCTGATTCCCATACAGAACACACCCCCCCACCCCCCCCCCCCCACCCCCCCACCCCACACACACACACACACACACTGTTTACCTTACTGTGTAAACAAGAGCTCCCTCTTCAGAATCAATAGTCCATTACTTTGTCATTTTAATCACATTAGGAAGCTCTAACAGAACGGGACACTCGATCCTCAGCGAGAGATCAGACCAGTGATCAGTCGGTTTCTTATGCAGGTCAGGAGCTTTCAGTGGATGAATTAGCTGCAAAGTGAAAACCAGGTGGGATCATCAATATGACGTTTATGGGATCATCTGTCAGTGCAAACAGAGCCTCAAACCAAGGAGCAGCGGTAGCGGACAGCCAACCAAAGAGCTGCTTGTGTGAAATGGAGGGGTCCCTGTTACCAGACCTCTAAGTAAGAAAAAAATATTTAAAAATTAAAGTCATTAAGAAAGAAAGAAAAATATTTTAGAGCTCCTTTCTGGTTTGTTTTCACTTGTCCATCCTTTCATCCATTATCGTCTGCTTATCCAGGGTCAGGTCATGATGGGGGCAGCAGCTTAAGCAGCAGAGAGGCCCAGACTTCCCTCTCCCCAGCCACTTGGGCCAGCTCCTCGAGGAGGATCCCCAAGGTGTTCCCTGGCCAGGTGAGAAACATGGTGCCTCAAGCGTGTCCTGAGTTCTCCTATAGGTCTCCTCCCGGTTGGATGTGCCAGGAAAACCTCACCACATGAGGCATCCAGATGCCCGAGCCACCTTAACTGCCTCCTCTCGATGTGGAGGAGCGACGGATCTACTCCGAGCCCCTCCAGGATGACCAACTGTTTCACCCTATCTCTAAGGGAGAGCCCAGAGACCCTGGAGATAAAACTCGTTTTGGTCGCTTGTATCCGCGATCTCATCTTTCGGTCATTAAAGCGTCCGACCATAGGTGAGGGCAGGAACGCAGATCGTCTGGTAAATGGAGAGCTCCACCTTCTGGCTCAGCTCTCTCTTCGCCACAACACACCGGTACAACGCTCGCATCACTGCAGACGCGGCACCAATCCGCCTTTCAGTCTCACACTCCATCTTTCCCTCACTTGTGAACAAGCCTACGTGTTTTGGAATAAAAGCTAATGTTGCGTATTGTGCAGTTAAACATTTTCCATGGTAGACTTTGTTTCCATTTCACACTAAATTTGCAGGGCTGCATATTATTTCTTGCAAAAGCATTGAAGGCATGCGTTTATTAAAAGAGGGCTACAATCCATTTAGAATGTTGTTTACTAGCATGCACTGCTGAGGAAATGGAACGCAGCCCCACCAGTGAATTAGGGTTACATCTCCAAGAAACAAACAAAACACAGGTGACACATTTATGAGGCTGCATGAATTGTGGCCTGACCTGGTCTTTCTACTCTTTAATAATTTAATTATTTTCATTGTTCTTGTGAAGAACCTCATGATTTCCATCTCCAATGGTGCTAAACAAAAAATGTCTTTTTGTTCTTTAAAAGTTCTTAAACTTTACTTTTAGCTCGTTATTAGTTTTCCAGAGAAATAGATTTTTTTTTGTTTGTTTTTTCCAGTTCATGTCACGGTCAGACCTAGTGACGATCAGCCGGACCCGACAACAGCCACACACAGATAAACTTTTAAAGAGTTTAATAAAGGATTTGTTAAAGCGATCGGGACCATGCTGGAGTCGGTTCTGTGGCGTGGCCTTCTGAGAACAGCAGCGGTGCTCAGCGGTGAGGAATGCCGATCCGACAGACTGAGGTCGGGCAACAGGCAGGCAGACAAGTTCCGTGGTCAGACAGTCAGACAGACAGACAGACAGGTTCAGTGGCTCGAAAGACTGTGGCAGGGCAGCAGGCGATCTCGCCCTGAGCAGCAGGAGCCAGGTGCTTGAATGGGGAGCAGCACAGGTGGAATTAATCAGCACGATGACTGCTGCAGGTAGACAGGAAAACACAGAGGTCAGGGCATGATCGAGGAGGCAGCAGAGGCAGAGGAGGGTGTCAGCCTGGGAGTCACTCCAGTTCACTTTTTTACTAAGCTGTTCCTTGACACAGCGTAAAAATGAACATTTACTCATAATAAAGTCAATATTGTTTGCAGAAAATGTTGTGGCTCGGTGAAGTCAATAAACCTCTCTGTGGGAACGATTGCATCAAACACATGAAATGACCACAAAGTGGCTGATCGGCAGACCCGACAAAGAACGCTCTCATCAAGCAGCAGCATGAAGTTCTTTCAGACTTATCAGCGACAACGCCTCACTCTGTTAGCGTCTGCTCCCATCAGTAGAGATCAATGAAGCCAAGATGAGCATGAAGCAGCAGCCTGATGTCACAAAAGTTACATCAGATGTTTTATGCAAAGTTGTAACCTAGACTGTGTGAGATTAGAATGACTTCACATGAGAAGGGAGAAGCTATCAAATTACTATCAAGTGATAGTTTCAGAAAATCTGTTGTTGTTCCTGTTTTACAACTAAAGTTGTTTTGTAAGAAAAGTTTTTCTTTAAATATTCCTGCTGAATTGAGCTAAATGTTGATAAACCATGATTAGAATGGGGGACAACATTAGAGCACAACAAAAATGTTAATATTCACAATTTAATATTTAATGTTTTCTATATTTCTGAAGAAATCCATAAGGAACAAGCAAAAAACAATCCATGAAGTCCCAATCAGATATATGCACTCATAAAATCGTATTTCTGCTCCAATAATTATCTTAGATTAAAGCGATTGAAGTCCCCCCCCCCCCCCCCCCAAACAAAACTTATGTTACTGAATACCCAAGTCATGCAAATTATTAGACTTTCATCTCGTTTTATGGATATGTTAGATAATAAATGACCAGCTCTTCCCAGAAGTCATTCACCTGTCGGTCACTGACTCCAAACCAGGAGCAGGGACTGTTTTCACAGCTGCTGCAAAGAACCTGAAGCTCCAGCCTGACTATATATAAGGATGAAGGTTGATATTCACAATCATATTTTACCAAAAGAATGGCCCGACTTGAAGCAGGTAGGAACTCTGAGACGAGTCTTTTATAACCTGACGCCTCGCCCCGGAGCAGATTTGCTTGGCCTGTAAACATCTGAGGGTTTCTGTTGGTTAAACGCCTCCGTGTCTGAGTTACTTCTTTGTAAAACGGGTTGAGTTTAATGACAGAAACATGAAAAAGATCTGTTTTCACGGACGTGTCAGCAAGAAGATTAACAGCTCACTCTGTAAATCTGCTCTCTCTACGGATGGTTAAACTTTAATCAATAATCCTTGGCTTCGGTCTGTTCGTTCCACCGTTTATATGTCTTTTTTACTCTGTTGGACAGATGGAGGGTGTGCTAATGTCTTTTATCTTATTCTACTTTTCTAGTACATAAAATCAAATTTATTCTAAAACCAAAATTTAGATTCAAGCTGTTGAACGTGGCTCAGGACCTCGAATTTAAAATAGAAACTTCATCAACTTGAACTATTTATCCCTTTATTATATTTTAGAAACCATATTTTGACACAGCTGATCTGCTCAGATATCAAATTCAAGCTTGACTGTACTTTAATAAACATCACTTGCAGTTTCATGTGTATGCAAACGCCTCAGCAGCCTCAGCTAGTAGTTATTTATAGAGCAGATTTCAGACTTCTGGACATTTACGCAACAAACAATCTGCAAAAGGGGCCTCCAGCAAGGTGCATGAGTGATTATTTACATGCACGGCTTTTGTCAAGATAAAATACAACCAAGGTGTGAGATACATTACAATAACTAGTATTTCATTGGGGTGATTTTTGTGTCTTGCAGAGATACGGATACGGAGGGTTTGTGCAGCTTCACCATCACTGCAAAGTGAGTCCTCTTTTTTTTACAGGAGAAACTAAAACACAGGGAAGTTTTGTTATGTTTGCTTTGCTGAGCTCACAGCAGGATAACACTGGCAGCACACAACCCACATGTGCACATGTGCACCATTGCGTTATTGAACGATTCATAAAACATATGACATTGAGGCGGTTGAGTGACTTGTGAAATGAGCTGCAGAGGAGGATGAAATTAGTTGATGATTTATAGAAATTTAGGAAGATTTTACGTAACTTGATGGGTTATTATTTAAAAAAAAGTTCTGAAAAAGGGGTGAAGAACAAAGAGCAGGTTTTATTAAGAATTGATTGCCTGCTGCCCCCTTGTGGATATATTTTAAACCCCGAAAGGAGCCAAACTATTCCAAGTCATCAACATGACCACACCACCCGAGACTGAAATTACCAAAATCAGAGAGAACCGAGACCGAGACAAGGCTAAGACCATATATATCAAAGGAAAAATTATAATGAAAGAAAAACAATATATAGATCCACTGCATGGCAACAAAAAAAGTCTCCTTTAAGTAAGCAAATGGGTGCAAGCCTGCTGTTGGATAATTACCGCATGGGCTTTCAGCTGCTCACAAGTTATTTATCCCCAACTGATGTGATGAGTTACTTCTCATATCTTAAACAACCACATCAAAAGACACATCTGGTGGTCGTGGAAAATACGTTAGTCGGTTTGAAAAGGGCAACATCGTTGGCATGCATCAAGCAGAGAAACATCTAAAGCCGGGCGTACACTGTGCGACTTTTTCACTCGTAGTGTTCAGCTTCAGCTCAAACTGTACGACTTCCTCGCAGAGCAGATCTCACGAGTCATGCGCTCACACTGCACGACCCAGTTCTCGCATGCGACCTGACTGCTCACACTGTACGTCTGGTAGCAACACGTCGGCCCTAAAAATATGCTAAAAATAGCAGTTTTTACTCAACACATCTGACTTTTTTATCTTGTCTTGCCTGTTGTCCTTCGGGAGTGCTGCAGGAGGACACACAGGGATTTATGGGGGTTGGATGAGGAAAACGAAATAAAGAAAGTAAATCTGTGTTTTGTGATCAGTTTAATTTGACATGAACACGACAAACACGCTTTCTTGACAATCTTTGTGAGTAAAAAAACGTGTAGAAACAAAAACGAACAGCGTGTGTTATTAGGGAAATAGCGAGCGGCGTTGATGCAGGATTGCACATGCGCCGTGAGCGGTTCTGATACTTTTTGGGCCGCAGCTGCTCGCAGCGCCGCTTCAACAGTGCGATACCCTCACGAGGGACGAGCGAAATATTAAACACGCCAGAAGTCCGAGCGACCTCACGATTGCTGATCGGCAGCTGGTCACGTGGTGTTAATCGCCTCTCGTAAACCCCTGTACACTACACGACACTCGGCGCAAAACTCGCCCCGATGTCGTGGATTCTTGCACGAGTGGAAAATCGGCTCAAAAAAGTGAAAAAGTCGCACAGTGTACGCCCGGCTTAAGGAGATTGCAGAAACGACTAAAATTGGATTAAGAACCCTACTGAGAATCTTTGGGATGTAATGGAGAAGGCTTTGTGTAGTTCCTAACCCTAACCCTGAAGCCACAAAGGGCTTGTTGGCAAAGACCTCTAAGTCCAGTTTCTTTCCATGAAAGCTGAGATTTAAGAAGAGCTTAACTCAGGTGTGTGTCATTGTGGTGCTGCAGCATGCAGTGCATCCACCCACTGCAAGTTGGTGTCTATGGCAGCTGGGGAAAATTGTTACACTACCAATGACTTTAGGTGGTTTTCCTTTCATCAATAAGGCATGGACAAAAGCCTTTCAGCTGCGGTCTCGAGTCGACCGGTCTTGTTAAAAACAACCAGAGTCCGCCCAGTCCGACACCGAGACAAGACCGAGTGAAAACGCACTTGATTCCAGGACAAGACCAAAGAACATTAAAATTTGATCTAGAGACCAAGACCGGTCTCGAAGCCTTCAACACTACCATCAAAAAAAGCAATCTCTACAAAGTCTGAAAAGGAACTTTATGTTCGATAAGGCAGTGAGTGACGCTGACGCTGTGTTCCAGGGAGAGGCAAAGATGATGAAGGACGGGAAGCTTTTCCGGGTCATTCAAGAAAACTGCTGGGATGCGAGTGCACGCATACAAGACATGGATCAACACGGTGTGTGAACAGACACAACAGAAATGACACTCATGGTTTCGTTTTAGCTGACGCTTTTGTTGGTGGCGTGCAGGTGTCACCGTTCAGGCCCTCTCAACAGTGCCTGTGATGTTCAGTTACTGGGTAAGAGTTCACTGCTCCAGTCACAAACAGCTGGTTTATTGCTGATCCTAAAACCACAGCAGGAACTGCAGAACATCCAAAGCTGTTGTTTCTGTACTCGATCCTGCAGGCCAAACCTCACGACACGCTGGATCTCTGTGTCCTTTTGAACGACGATCTGGCCCAGACAGTGCACAGCCATCCAAAGAGGTTTGTGGGCCTCGGCACGCTGCCCATGCAGGCTCCTGATTTGGCCGTGATGGAAATGACACGCTGTGTGAAGGAGCTGGGCTTCCCTGGTGTGCAGATTGGATCGCACATCAACAACTGGGACCTCAACGCCTCCGAACTCTTTCCTTTCTACGCTGTGAGAAATCCCCCGTCAGCATGAACAATGATCCTGATGATTGTATGTTCTTTTATGGGTTTTATCTTTAGTTGGTTTGTTTACAGTCATTTTTTTACCATACAGGCAGCCGAAAAGCTGGGCTGCTCCATATTTGTCCACCCATGGGACATGCAGACAGATGGAAGGATGGCTAAGTATTGGCTTCCCTGGCTGGTAGGTGAGGGAGATGGAACAGAAACCAAAAATATTTGGCAAAAGAAGCCCAAAAAGAAGCCAAGTCACTACAGTGGGATTAATCAAACTTTTTTAAATGAGCAGGGATTATTTAACTCATTCCTTCTGCTGCTAATCTCGTATATCTTATTTATTTCTTCTTTTTGTCTCCTGAAGGCATGCCAACTGAGACAACAATGGCTATTTGCTCAATGATTTTTGGAGGCATCTTTGAGAAATTTCCTAAACTGAAAGTCTGTTTTGCTCATGGAGGTAAAGAAAATTGATTTTCCGTGTTTGATTTGTTTGAGTAGATTGCACTAGGGAAGAGGATTAGGGCCACTGAAAAGAAAAAAGTTAAGAAAGAGAATTCTGACTTTTTTCCCATCAGGATTATTGAAGTTAGAATTCTGAGAAAAAAGTCAAAATTCTCTTTATTTTATTTTCAGTGGCCCTAATCCTCTTCCGCGTTACGCAGATTAAGACTTTAGTTTGAGAAACCTTGTTTGTCCTTTTTTAAAATCTTTGTCCATCTGTTTATAGGTGGTTCTTTTCCATTCACTGTTGGCAGAATTGAGCATGGCCACAAAGTTCGCCCTGACTTGTGTGCGGTCGACAATCGGATCAGTCCACGTAACTACCTTGGTTCCTTCTACACCGACTCCTTGGTTCATGATCGGATCTCCCTGAAGCTGCTAGTCGATGTTATTGGAAAAGTGAGCTTGATTTGTAATTTAATCTGCATACAAGAGGTGTTTTACAAAGAAATAGCTGAAACTCATACCAAAGGAGTGTAGCGATTGGTGCTCTCTTAAGTATGGACTTGGGCATTTTCAACACATGTCTAAAGGCTGTGGTTGGCACTAAATGCACTGTGATTTATTATCGTGTGATTGTTTAGCAAAACAATGTTTATTTTATATTTCCTCAGTAGGTTGACGCGGTGATAGCTTGCACACAGTTGTGTATCCCTTTTTCTTCGTTTTTCTCTTTCTGCGGGTCTAGAAGCAGACTATTGTTCATCATTGATTGTTTTTGTGGAAACCTTCCCCACTCTTCCTTTTGTCTCTTCCTTTCTCTTTCACCTCTGTCTTCGTGTCTGGTCGGAATTAAAAAGCATCCAAAAACACTGACAATGAAGTTTTAAGTATCAGGCGTGACATTAAAAGCAGATGCTTTGATGCTCCACCCGAGAGTAAATGTGTAAGGCTTGTCACCAGCATTCAGATCAATTCTGTTTGCTTCACAGCCAGACAGGACACAGGGAAGAAAGAAACGGAAAATTGAGCTTGAATTTGTAATTTAATTGGCATACAAGACGTGTTTTAAAGAGAAATAGCTTAAACTCATACCAAAGGAGTGTAGCGATTGTTTACTTGAACCTGACCTGGTTGCATCTTAATGCTGCACTCAAAGCTGCTGAGACTCTGAATTCACTTTCCAGGACAAAGTGATGCTGGGAACAGATTATCCATTTCCACTTGGTGAGCTGCAGCCTGGATCCCTAATTGAGTCGATGGATGACTTTGATGGTACACTTAAGGTATTAAAAATGTCTTCTGACAACATTTAGAGTCACAGTATTTAAACTGAACTCTACCACACAAAGTCTTGTAAAGAAATGTAAATAAATTTTGAAAATTTCAGGTGTTTGAAAAAAGCAAATAGAAAATTTAGAAACAGAAGTAAAAACATTTGATCATTTCAGGGTTTTTTTTTTCTAAGTTTTGTCTATGTTTTCTTTACTTTGCAGGACAAACTACTTGCTGGAAATGCTCTGGAATTCTTGGGTCTGAAACAAGAACAGTTTTTATGAAATAACACAGGCAAACATCAGCTCCAACTAGAGGATGACATTTGCAGAGCAATGCAAAGAAGATCCATCAAATTGAATTCCTTCTCTTACAGTGACATGTTTTTTTCCTGGCAATAGGGTGCGACATACCTAAATCTTTGCAAGCACGCTGTATTTTTCTGTTCAAGTAAGACCTTACCAACGGGATGGCCATTAGGGTCAAAAATCCCAGGGAGCACCATTTTTAAACATGTACTTCATATCGTTCAGCCTCCAGCAAAATGACAAGCACATCAGATTCCCTTTCATCACTGGCAGCAAGTGAAGAGGTAAATGTGTAAAACAATGTTTGAGTGGCGAAAGATTTATAACTGCTCGTTACAGATCAATGAATGCATTTTGTCCTCACAGTTCAGAAGAAAATATTGCATCTTATTTGGCTTCGCTTCCAAGTCTGCATCAATGTGGACTTGGGGGAAGGGTATTACCCATAATCCATTGCAGCGGGAAAAAAGGTTCAAGTGCCTTTTCAGAAAATATGTATTTTCAAGTGAAAGTAGTTAATTAATTATGCTCTGAATGTTTTAGACAAAGCAGCAATTATTATAAATGTATTTCAAAGAATTGTTTGTTTGTTTGTTTGAAAGTTGTTAAAGGTTTTTAAAAAATAGCACAGCGACCAGCATCCAGGCATGCATTGCGGTTGATGACGCAATGCTCCCTGTCCCAATTCGGTAAATATTTGCACATTTGTGTACCACACACTCGCTGCCTTAATAGGCATTTCCTCCAAGTGCACTTCACAGAAGACCACAGGGCGCAGTGCAAGTATTGGTATTGGGCCATAGACCCCTCCCATGTATTTTAGACCCAATTTTTATGATTATATGTTTAAAAGCTGCCAAAATTATTAATGTAGCGTCATGAATGGCCTCTAATTTGTGACAAAGGTCACATTTTCCCAGCTGGGTCAAGCTGGGTCGACTGTAACTTTGCCCCACGGATTAACCAAGCAAGGAGCCATGATGTCTGCTGAAAATCATCTTTATCTGCTGCTGTTCCGTCCCAGGCTGAAGGACACTTCAAGTTCACAATAATAACTTTAAAAAATAAGTTTAATAAACTGTTGACTTTATTACTGTTATTACAATCATCATCAATAATCTCTTGGTTCAGTATAAATGTATTTTAATTACTGAAATGACTTATTATGCTTTGGGTATAATAATGATTATAGTTGATAATCCTAATGTGTGTTCAGCAAACCAGAAGGTCATCTCGCACGTTAACCAGCCTCATTCAGAAGGGATATCCAGGGTAAAGGGTAAAATCATCAAATGTCTTTACTCATGACCAAGCTTTTTGATGCTGAGTGGGCGTGTTCTGAGGGTTTTGTTAAAACTAAAAATCCCGCAGCAAAGTTCAGTTCTTGAACCCACCAGGAGACGAGGGACGGCCGCCCGAGTCTCTACTAAGCATTCTGTCACGCCGATAGACTTGCTCCGAATAAACGCACCTGTTTCCAGCTGACGCAAAACTCCTTCAGAGTTACTGATTTTGAGACGCAAATAGTTCCACCAGTCGAGTGACCCAAGGAGACATCTCAGGACCGATTTGGTCGCACTAGGGTCCTTCTACCAACCTCGTGCCTGGAGGAAACCATCTCCACCTGACATCTCGGATCCAGAAGAGGGTCTCCTGGTGAGGTAGACACTTCTGACAGATGGTGTCTGTATGCTGTTTCTTCTAATAACCATCAGTTAGCTGCAAAACAACTTTCCACCCAGAAACGCTTCTCTCGCTGAAAGCAACTTTCTGATATTCATTCACGCGTCCAAAAAACTCGTGTTTTCATTTTAGCTTTCATTCAGTCGCAGGTTTGCCTTTAAAACAAGTTTAATATCAAATAATCAGTTAAAAATTGTCATTTCTAAATTGTCATTTCAAATTGTCATTTTTTAAAAGTGTTAGTAATAAATTCTTAACTTTAAAAACTTGACTCTCTACTTGAAATTAAACACAGAATGGTGTATATTTCTGGTTATTGAAAAAGCAAAGATTCCTTTAACTTCTGATTAAATAAATAAACTTTTGCTATTAAATTGTATTATCTTAAATTACACATTAATCTTTGGATTAAAAATAGACCAAGCTCGTTGGCATATTAACTTCGATCGAATATATAATATCCTAGATATTTATATAAAATAGAAGCTTCATGGTTAACTTGTTTGGATCTTTTCTCAGGATCTAACCAAACTGATAGCAAACAGTGTTGATTCTAGTATGTAGTTTAACAACGCTACATTAACAACTGGGCATCATTTCATTCACTTTCAACATTTCAATGAATATTTCGAGAGATTAATGGTAACAACTACACCTTGTCTCATATATATATATATATATATATATATATATATTATGGCATGCCGTTCAGGGAATTATTATATATTTATAGCAGAATACTGTGGTGTGAAGAGGGCGGAGGTGTGAGGTATTATCGCACTGATGAGGGCACGGGAAGGGATAAACAGACTGGGGAGGGGAAGGCTCGTGGTTGGGAGAACAGTCGGACTGCCTGAGCGGACACAGAGCCCTGGTGATGGGGGTGGGTGTCAATCGCAGCTGTTTAGGGCTGCTGGCGGTGAAGACAGCCAGCGAAAGGAGAGGCATTTTGGTGAGAGGAGGGGAGGCCAGCCGCCTCCTGTAGTTAGCCAGGGCCGGGACATGGAGAGCGCCGCGGCCAACAGCGACGACCCCCCAGACGTTTACCGTCCGGCGATGACCAGGCCGGAGGATTCAACCGCTGCCAACGACATTAGTTCCTGGGGCCAACGCCCCGGGATCTAACATCTTCACACCACAATACTTCTGAATATGGACCGAAGTCTAAATATATGGACTGAAAGTCTGAATATATGGACTGAAAGCTGTGCTTTAAGTGGGTTCGGTTTGCAGCAACATGCTCCGCCACTTCAAACTCTGTGACCTCTCGGTATACCTTTTTTAAATACTTTTTTCTAGGCGGTGCGCAGTGGTAGTTTTTCGGGTCATTTATTAGTCAAAATCTCCCGAGTTCTAAAAAATTATCTGTCCCTCCAACATCAGCCATCCACAGTCTGTGCCCAGCGCAGCCACTCCCGATACGTCGCACACGCGCTCCATGAAGGTCCGCATTTTGCGCCAAAGGTGCATCACTGCCGTGAGACGCACAGCGCATTCAGCCCCGTCAGCACAGAGGAGACACAAAAAGAGACGATTTATCCAACACTGTGCATGTTCCCGCAATGACAGCAGCAGCACCTGAACAGCCAGTGGCTAAATGGTTAGATGCTCAACAGGCAGGAGGATGGAGCTAGACATATATCCAAACAGAAATATAGATCATTAGCAAACTCTGACCGGGTTGGAGGAGTCTGATCGCTGCTGCAGTCAGCTTGATCTCCGACGGGGATTTCCAACTCGCAAGGGTGGTGGGGGTGCATTCATCCACCGGTTTGGAGTACATCCAACAGTCCCAGAGGACCGGTCGTTATTGGATTCTCAAGAACTCAGATTACCAGTCCACTTCGGCCCTGTCTATAACCTTCACTCTTTCACTCCAAAGGCCCAACAACATGAGTTTTTTTGACTGATGGTCAGTGCCATCCCAAATGTTATTAATCTCTCTCCTCCCTTTTCTGTCCAAAATCATTGAAAGGGTGGCTTTCAAGCAGATCACAGAATACCTCTCACAAAACTGTCTGATTGACCCTTACCAATCTGGGTTCAATAAGGGCCACTCCACTGAAACGGCTCTGTTAGCAGTGACGGAATCCTTAAAAGAAGCTAGAGCGACAGGCAAATCGTCAGTGCTTATCCTGCTCGACTTATCGGCTGCATTTGACACTGTCAACCATGGCTTCCTTTTGTCCACACTCTCTGGCATGGGCATCACAGAGAAAGCACACGCCTGGTTTGAATCATACCTCACAGGACGATCATTCAGTGTATCTTGGCTTGGACAATCCTCTACCATGCACCATCTTGCCACAGGAGTCCCTCAGGGCTCTGTACTAGGACCTCTTCTCTTTGCCATATACACTACCTCAATGGGTGAGATCATTCGATCACATGGCTTCTCTTACCACTGCTATGCAGATGACCCTCTATCTGTCATTTCCACCGGACGACCACACTGTCTCTGTACGAATATCAAACTGTCTCTCTGACATATCAAAATGGATAAAATCCCACCATCTCCATCTCAGCCTCTCTAAAACTGAACTACTTGTCATCCCAGCAAAACCATCCATGCAGCACAATATCTCAATCCAGAATGACTTCCTATCTCTGGCTCCTTCAAAGGCAGTTCGAAATCTGGGTGTTGCGATTGATGAACACCTGACCTTTAAAGATCATGTTGCCTCTGTTGCTCGTTCATGCTGCTTTGCGCTGTATAATATACGAAAGATCAGACCATACCTAACACAACATGCCACCCAGCTCCTGGTGCAATCTACTGTTATCTCCCGCCTCGATTACTGCAATGCCCTTCTAACTGGTCTTCCAGGCAGTACTGTGAGACCTCTTCAAATGGTCTGGAACGCAACGGCCTGTCTGGTCTTCAATCAGCCAAAAAGAGCACATGTTACCCCTCTGTTCATTGAGCTCCACTAGCTACCGCTAGCAGCCCACATCAAATTCAAATTGCTAACACTAGCATACAAAGTCCGAGATGGTACGGCTCCCATCTACCTGAATCCTCTTGCAAAGGCTTACGTCTCGGCCCGGCCGCTCCGGTCATCACAGGATAGTCGGCTAGCAGTGTCTACACCACGCTCAGGACAATCCAGACTCTTCTCATGCATCGTTCCACAAATGTGGAATGACCTTCCAAGCACGACCAGAACAGCGGCTTCCTTTTCAATTTTCAAGAAACTCCTGAAGACCCTGCTCTTCATAGAGCATCTTCTAAACTATCACCTTCCCTGCACCCGTTCCCCTCTCTACTGTCCACTCCTTGTTCCCTCCTCTCCATGACTGATGTCACTGTTGTTGTTGTTATTGTTGTTGTTAGCCTCAAGGGCAATATGCCGATTATCACTTGTAAGTCGCTTTGGACAAAAGCGTCTGCTAAAAAATAATAATTATGTTACAACAGGGTGTGCTTTTAGCCTACCAGTGTTATGAGTGTTAAAGAGAAAATGACAGGGAGAGAAACAATGTTTAATATCATTTTTGTTGCTGGAAATAACACAAAAGCATTGTTTGTACCATCTGTCAGTCAGCTGATGGTTTCACATATGAAGGGGTGTCCCCATCACTAGTGCTGCAGGAGTACATCTGCACACCGCTTAGGGCAGGCTGTTTAAACAGTTGTTAGGAAGATATATATTCAAAATATCTAAAAATCTATTGTTTCTATTAAAAAACATTCCAAATAATCCATAATAACCTTCTCAATATGCACAATGTTCATTTCTGATAAATTAAAGAGTCATTCACCCCCCTAGCATTATATCCACCCACTCTTGTTAAAAAAAATGCACTTTAAGATGTCATCTGGTGGATCAGGAGAGCTGTGGCGCAGAGGAAGTAACTGACAGCACCCTCCCCTCAATGTCCATCAGAAGCTGGGT